CCATCTTCGTAAAAATAAGAAAGTATATTTTATATATAAGTATATGCACACATTTTATTCATTTATTGACATATTTATTGCTTACACACACACACACACACACACACACACACACACACACACACCACCTGTGCTTCTGACCAACCAACTATAGATAGGAAGTACCAACAACCTCCTCCTTGGATTCCATTAATTGCTAGAGTGGGTCACAGAACTCAGGGAAACATTTACTTACATTTACCGGTTATTAAAGGATATGATACAGGATACAGACCAACAGCCAGATGAAGAGATTTACAGGGCAAAGTCTGGGAGGGTCCCACGAACAGGAGCTTCTGTCCCCATGGAGTTGGCGTACATCACCCTCCCAATGTGTGGATGTGTTCGCCAGCTGGGAAGCTCCCAAACCCTGTACTTTGGGGATATTATGAAGCTTCCTCATGTAGGCATGGTCAATTATTAACTCCATTTCCAGCCCCTCTTCCCTCTCTGGAGGATGAGAGGTGGGACTGGAAATTCCAAGCTTCTAATCATGGCTTGGTCTTTCTGGTGCCCAGCCCCCAGCTAGGAGCACACTCAGAGTCACCTCCGTAGAGTAAAGATGCTCTTAATGCGTTCATCACTCAGAAATTTACAAGGGTTTTAGGAGCGCCGGGCCAGGGATGGCATCCAAGACAAATACCAGAACAAGAGATGCTTTGAGTGTTCTTATCACTTAGGAAATTACACGGGTTTCAAGAGCTCTGTGCCAGGAACCAGGGGCAGAGACCAGTATATTTTCTATTATCTCACAGCCTGGTGTTGATCTCAGTTTCATTTTTAGTGAAATTCTATGAGGAGGTGTTCAGATGTTCCTGGAAAGTAGGTTAAGCCTTTTGAAACCAGAGTGGTACTTTTTGACCAGCACAGTCTCAGCACCCCATGGCTGTGAGCATCGCTGCCAGAAACATTCTCAGAAAAGCAGAAGCCAACTGACTGGGGAGCTCAGGGCCCCTCGCTTGCACAGGCCCCTTTTGTGGCCCTTCGTTTTGCTTTCCTCACTCGATAATGCTTCGTGCAAGTCTCCTTCAAGCCAGTTGATGGACCCATTGTTTTAGTGTCTGTGTGGTGATGGGACCATAATTTATTAACCATCCACCTCTTATGTCATTCACCTTGTTCCCTTTTTTTTTTTTTGCCACTACAAACAATGCTGCAAATTCTTGTCCATCTTTCCTTACACACCAGTGCGTTTATTTCAGTTAGATGGCTTCCCAGGCATGAGCAGGTCAAAGGACACCCTGATCTGAAGCTTTAAGTGACTGATTTTCTGGGTGTACAGTGATACCTCATTGTTACTTTAGTTTTCATTGCTAGTGTATTTGAGCATCTTTTCCTATTTTTGTAAAGTATTTACATCTGTTCTGAGAATTGCTTGGGTATATGTTTGTACATTTTTCTTTGGGGCTGTTTTCTTTTTATTGGTCCATTTGTAAGAGCTCATAACTTTAACCTATTGTCTGTTATCCATGTGGCAAATATTTTATTTTCCCAAGTTTACATTTTCTCTTTTTCTTGTTTGCTGGTTGATTAGGTTGCTACATATTCCATTTTTTACTCTTGTAAACCTCTTGCTTGGTTTTTAGTCTTCAGAGGAATTTGAATTTATCCAAATGCAATGGAGAGTGGCATATTTTAAGCAGAGGCAATGTCATCAAGTTTGAATTTTTACAATGATGGCTTTGATCCTTAGTATGAGAATCTTATGGGGCTCTGACCTTAGCATGAGAATCTTATGGGGCAGTGGGTAGGGCAAGGGTGGAAGCAAAGAGACCAATTAAGAGGATATTTCAGTAATCCAGGAGGATGATGATAGCAGCTTGGACAGGGAAAGTAGCAGTGGAAATGGGGAAAAGAGGATGATTTGAGACAAACTGTATCTGGAAAATAAAATCCACAGGACCTGTTGTTCTGGGGATGATGGAATCAAGGATAATTTCTGACATGGTCCAACCCACCTCTCCTGTCTCATTTCCTGCCGTATTCCAGACTCGTTTCTCCTCTTTACCACATTAGACTTCTCTCAGGCCTTACCTGTTGTCTTTATCCCTTTATCCTTCCAGCCACAGGGCCTCTGCACATGCTGTTTCCTCTGCCTGGATTGTTCTTCTCTCCCCTCTCACCTGGTTAACTCTTACCATCCTTCTGATCTCAGCCCACTTTCTCAGAGAAGCCATCCCTGGCCTTTCTGAACACTGAACAGGTTGAAGTCTCCTCACATCCCATGCACCTCATCTGTGTGCATGCGTGTGTGCGCACGTGTGTGTGATTTTCCTTCACTCTACTCCCTGAGCTCCTTGGAGACAGAGACAGTGTTCATGTTACTTTGTACAGTATCTCCCACAAGCTGCACAGAGCAAGTACCCAGCAAACATTTAATGAGTGAATGAATCCCCAAGTTTCTATTTATTTACGGTTAAAAGTTGGGTAGGAAGGACTTCCCTGGTGGCACAGTGGTTGAGAATCTGCCTGACTAGGCAGGGGACACGGGTCCGGGAAGATCCCACATGCTGTAGAGCAACAAAGCCCGTGCACCACAACTACTGAGCTTGCGCTCTAGAGCCCGCGAAGCCACAACTACTGAGCCCACGTGCCGCAACTACTGAATTCTGTGCACCTAGAGCCTGTGCTCCTCGACAAGAGAAGCCACCGCAATGAGAAGCCCACACGATGCAACAAAGAGTAGCCCCCGCTCGCCACAACTAGAGAAAGCCCACGCGCAGCAACAAGGACCCAACGCAGCCAAAAATAAAAATTAATTAATTAATTAAATTTTTAAAAAAATGTTGGGTAGGAACAGTTTTAGGAGGTGGGAAGATCAATAGTCCAGACAGGACATAAGTTTGAGACAGCTGTGAGACATTCAAAAGAGTGTTGTCAGGTAGGCAGTCAGACACGGGAGCCTGGAGCTCAGAGGAGAGGTCTGCATTCAGGTGATACATTTAAGGGTAATATTATATCACCGTTCTTTAATATTGTATGAAATGACTTAAAGGGGAGGAGATAGGGAGTGAAGAGAAGAGGACTAGGGAGAGCTCCAGCTTTTAGAGATCAGGTAGAAGAGGAGACCTCCTAAAGGCCGCCGAGGAGGGGCAGCCCGAGAAATAAGAGGAAAATTAAGAAAGTGCGGATTCAGGACTTCCCTGCGGGTCCAGTGGTTAAGACTTCACTCTTCCACTGCAGGGGGCGTGGGTTCGATCCCTGGTTGGGGAACTAAGTGCCCGCATGCCACCTGGCATGGCCAAAAACCAACCGACAAACAAGAAAGTGTGATATTACGAATCCCAGAGAGCAGAATGTTTGAAGACAAGAGTAGGAAATTGGGTTGAGTGATGCTGAGTATCTAAGATGTCCCTGTAGAGGTACAAGAAAGGGTCCATATAGAGGTGCCTGGGGTCCTTGATGAGCCATTTTAGTGGAGTCATGAGAGAGAAGTGAAGACCTGAGTGGCTGGAAGCGTAAAGGGGGGAGTGGGAGGGGAAGAATGGAGGTGATGTGTATGGATGTGTGTAGGTGAAGAGAGCGGGTTGCTGGAGGGAGATGTTAAGGAAAGGTTTTCTAAAGATGTGACATTGCAGTGCACATTTGTGTCAGGATGTGAATGTGTGTGAGTGTATGGTGCCTTTGTTCCTGTGTGTGTTTGCGTGTGTATCCTTGTGCATTGACTGTGTAGTTGATTCTCAAGGAATCTGAAATGTTGGCCTTTTGGCTCAGATCTTTATTTAGCATTATAAATCAATGTTTATATATTTAGAATCCATAGGGCATAGAACTCATTGGTTCTCTGCTTTTTATGGTTGATGAGATTAAAATAAAGCCATGAAGTGACTTATATGAGGCAGTAGGCAAATTATTGGTCTTAGCAGGGCACAGAAACACACCTAAGGAATGTTGTTGGAATTCAACACATGTAGTGACCCATAATAATCTTTTAAAACTCCAACCATCATGCTACGTCATATAATTTTTAAACAGGTGATCTGCATTTCTCATTTTTCAGCTTAGAGGATTAACAGCTATGCTAAACGGTAAGGAGGAGGTCAATGAGAATTTAATTCAATAGGAATTTAAAACTTATCACAAATCCAAACAGGGGACTCATTTCCAATGGGCAAGAATTTACGATGTCATTTTCATCACAGGCCATATATGAGCGCCTTTTTTGTTGGATTGTTTCTCGCATCAATGATATTATTGAGGTCAAGAACTCTGACACCACCATCCACGGGAAGAACACGGTTATTGGTGTCTTGGATATCTACGGCTTTGAAATCTTCGACAACAACAGGTAAACCGGATAAGGTACTGAAAACCCTATTGTTTATTTTTTTTATTTGTTTGAGCCTAATTGATTGCTCTTCTTGCAGCTTTGAACAATTCTGCATCAATTACTGCAATGAGAAGCTCCAGCAGCTGTTTATTCAGCTGGTCCTGAAGCAAGAACAGGAGGAGTACCAGCGGGAAGGGATCCCCTGGAAGCACGTGAGTGGACTCGTACAGACTGTTCACGATAACATCAACTCTTCGCATCTTGGGTACCTGCTGATCTTCTTGGGTGCTTGAAACACCTAAACCTTAGCTTTCCTTTTTGGGGTATTGAAATATTACAGTTCATTTTCAGGGTTAATAGGTGGGATTTCTCTAATTTGGTCGACTGTCTGGTTGGTGCCCAGAAAAGGCTGAGTTGAAAATCAGTAAACTTATGTTCACTTCACAGCTGATACCGCATAGTTTTTTGATTCACATCTATTAGAGTTTAGCATCCTTTATAAGTTATTCAGAGCAGCAACTTATGCCTTCAATTGGCTGACCTTTGCTTCCAAATTGAGTTTCTTCCCCTTCCTTCTTTCTTTTTTTGCTCTTATTTCTCCTTTTTTCTTCTCCTACTTTGTAAGCCAAGTGGCATTTTATTGTCTTTGGTTAATGAGGTTCATATTCCCTGAGACCCATGCATGAAAACAGGTGTGTTAACTTTGATTTCCATTTACTTTCCTTTGTGTCACACAACAGTTATCACCTCTCTTCTCCTGGCTCTCTGTGAACTTTGTATTTGTCCGATAAGATACAGCCAGACAGTATGATTGATGCAGGGTGCAATACCACAGATCACAGCTAAAAACATGGCAGTTAGACCTCCTGTTCACGATAGAAATGGGACCTTGTAATTTTCTTTGAAATTTGTATTTTTAAACAATTTTGAGGACAGACATAAAAATTTCAGAAACTTCTGAGTTTCCATAAATTTCTGTGTTTATCCTTTTGCCAAATAGTATAGATAATGAAGTCCGTATTTGTATTTTGATATCCAGTGTAAGCAGTAAAAAGCTTTTTGAAATGCTGTATTTAAATTACTTTTATATTCCTTCCCATCTTCCTACTTTCCATCTCCTCTCATTCAGAAAAAGGAGATACTGGTATAATAACTAGCTTTCCTGCTTCAGATTTCTTCTTTGCCTTCCATCCATCGTGTGTTAAATGTTAGAATACCGTAACAATTTTGTTCAAGTATAGTAGTATGAATTCTACATATTTACAAATAAAGCAAAGGGTGTATTATTACTTTTTAATAGGAATACTTACAGTTTTGATTTAAAGAGTGAAGTCTCATTGCATATTTAAGATGTAATTCAATTCAGTTAAGTTTATATGCAGCTTTCTTAGAACGAATCTGTTGCATAACATAATACACAGTTATAACTGGGGCTTAGGTTTTCATAGCAAACTTAATCATAAAACTTGTTATTCAGATGTGGTTCAGAGATACTGGTCCAAAATATCCTTTAACAATCAGAATATCAAATTCCACAGGCATAGTTGATAAAGGGAAATGTCAACAATTGCAGGAGACTATTCCAAGCATCTGAAAAAGGAGCAAAAGCCCTTTAAAACAATTCTTAGTGAAATAAACCAAGAAAAATGTGACCTAGAGGTAACAGAAAGCTCACTCCAAAATAATAGTTACTGAATACAGCCCGGGTCCCCAAATTAGAATCTCCATTCTGGGCAAGTATTTCCTTTAAAAACCCCAAACTTTAGAACATAGTGATTAATTTTTAAAAAAATTTTTATTGTGGAAAATTTCAAGCACACGTAAGAGCAGAGGTCACAATATAATAAACTCCTTGTACCCATCACTCAGCTTTAATAGTTATCAGTGAATTGCCAGTCTTGTGTCATCTGTACCCCACCCACCCCCAGATTATTTTGAAGCAAATCTCAGACATCACATTATTTCATCTGTAAATATTTCAGTGTGTTTCTCTAAAAGATAAAGACTTTTATAAAAAACCATAGGCACGACACCATTATCACACCTAAAAAATTAACAGTAATTCTTTAATGTCATCAAATATGCAGCCAGTGTTCACATTTCACATTTCCTCAATTGTCTTAGAGTTTTTGGTTTTGCTTTTACAGTTTGTTTGAATTTGGATCCAAATAAGTTACTTACGTTGTGATTGGTTGATAGGCCTCTTGAACATCCACCGATTTTCTCCTCACTCCTATCTCTCTCTCTCTCTCTCTCTCTCTCTCTCTCTCTCTCTCTCTCTATTTTCCTTGCAATCTTTTGTTGAGAGAATAAGTTATTTGTTCTTTAGAGTTTCCGACTGTCTGGATTTTGCTAATGGGGTTCCCGAGGTATCACCTAATCTGTCTCTGTTCCTTATATGTCCTGTACATTGCTTATTAGATCTAGAGTCTTGACTGGTGTCAGGATCACCGTCTATTTCATGGGTGGTATGTGAACTTCCACCAAGAGATTCATAATGTCTTGTCTCCCTAATTGATTCGCCTTTACATGATTTTGGTGCCGTAGTTTACAAGTCACTTTTAGGTGCTGAGAACTTGACTCTCAGGCACAAAGCTGCTCTATTTGGAGTGAGGATGGGAGCCCCAGAGCCCTGTGCCCCTGAGCCATCCCCTCACATCTCTCTTTGTCCCCTGCATCTGCTAAGAAACCTCCTGGGAATACCAGGTTGCTGGAAGAACCTAGTTTGAAAACCACGACTGTAAGCAATGTTTGAAGCCACATTAAACTGTGAACCAGAAGCTACTGGACTCTTCAGCAAAGACTAATCACTTTTAGTTAGACAGTTGGAATTTGGGGAACTTAATTCTTTTGTTCTTGGCACAAAAGACTTAATCTTTAATTCCATAGTCACAAAGTCTACGATTTCAGCTGTTAATTAATACAGAGTTCCTGCTTTTTGAATATTTTAAGGATATTTTTTCCAAAGATAGAAATAACTTTTCTCCATAATGAGAAATGTAAGAAGTGCCCACAATAAAAGTAAATACTTAGACCAGGACTTCTCCATCTCTATACTAACATTTTAGACCCGATAACTGTTGTGAGTCTGTCCTGTGCTTTGTAGGATGTTTAGTCGTATCCCTGGCCTCTTCCCACCGGATACCAGTAGCATTCTATTAGTCATGACCACCTAAAATGTCTCCAGACATCACCAAATGCCCCTGGGGGGCAAAGTCACCCTCTATTGAGAATCACTGATTTAGGCCAGAAAAGTATAAAAAAACAAGTAAAAGCCACCCAGTTTGCAGGCTTCCAGTCCATGGAATACAGAGGAGGACATGCAAGACCAGGGATGGAGCTGAAAGCCACAGCCAGATAGCTGGCCTGAGCCCTTGGATTTTAAATAGCATTGAACAGGGATCCACGAGACACAGTAATACTCTACTGTGAGTGTGTCGATCTTACAGAAGGTAGTGGGGACAACTCTCAGTTCAGGTACCTCCTAAATGAGGCGGGACACATCAACACACAAGATTAAAATGTATAAGCTGCCCGTCTTCAAATGAGGTACTACAGCTTTCCTGAGTCAGGGCCATGTGTGCTTTCTGTGTGTGTAGTGATATGTAGGCTGCAGGCTATCAGAATAGACAGGTGTAGAAGAGGATTATTACACAAACCTTGTGTGTGCTGAGGTGGCTAAAGAGCCTGCAGTTATTTACAAGCTTATTCAGCCTTGTGGAAGCAAATGAAAAGCTTATTCTTATCCTTTACGGATTCTTATATCTCAGAATTAAATTTTTTGTATTGTACCCTGGAAACCTCTGTTAGACCCATACGTGCCTTTTAACTTTTGGAAAACTGAAGGAGATACTCTTTGGGATTTTTAGTCAGCCAGGGCCGTGTAGAAATGCAAGTTCTCGGAAACACCTTAACTCCATCGAGTTCAATATCAATGAATACTTCAAGGTTATTTGTTGGTACTTAGTGGAATCTGGGTCTTGCGATTAACAGCCAACGGATTGAGGGATTGAAGGTCTGATGAATAAGGTTAGGTGCTGGATATGAAGACAGGATTAAAACAAGAGTTAGCAAAGGGAGAAACATTATCTACTTTATAATTTTTGCCTGGAGCTGTACTCATTTAAGACAAAATGTTTTATGATAAAAAGTCCACAAATACATTTTTTAAAATAAATTTATTTATTTGTTTGCTTTTATTTTTGTCTGTGTTGGGTCTTCATTGCTGGGCATGGGCTTTCTCTTGCAGCGAGCAGGGGCTACTCTTCCTTGCGGTGCGCAGGCTTCTCATTGTCGTGGCCTCTCTTGTTGCGGAGCACGGGCTCCAGAGCACAGGCTCAGTAGTTGTGGTGCACGCGCTTAGTTGCTCCTCGACATGTGGGATCTTCCCTGGCCAGGGTTCGAACCCGTGTCCCCTGCATCGGCAGGCGGATGCTCAACCACTGCGTCACCACGGAAGCCCCACAAATACATTTTTGAAAAAACTTCTATTAGAATGTGTGCTCATTTTAGCGTTATCCCTCATTAGTGTTGTTCACCTCTTTGACACCAAAGTGACTTAAATTCCTGATACATATGGAGGCATTGCTGTTGCACCTGTTCCTGGTTTCTGTTCCCTCTGGAATTGTCACTTTGCTGTGTCCTACAGATTGATTACTTCAACAATCAGATCATCGTGGACCTCGTGGAGCAGCAGCACAGGGGCATCATTGCCATCCTGGATGACGCCTGCATGAATGTCGGCAAAGTCACCGATGAGATGTTCCTGGAAGCGCTTAACAGTAAATTGGGCAAACATGGTCATTTTTCCAGCCGAAAGGTAGTGTGTATAATGAGAACTTCCTCTCATTTTGATCATTAAGATTTCCCTCATTGTTTGACAGAATTAAATGACTTTATATGTTGGGTTGAAAGAATGTCCACTCAAGTGAGAAGGACCATAAACATCCATGAAATGATGTATTGCTGTGGGTAAATTCTGCCTTTCTGGTTTATAGGATGGCGAGATTGATAGACATCATAATGTCCAGGAGAGGGAGCTCTAGACTATTCAGTTTGCTAGAAGTAGGAAAAATGAACATGATTCTTTAGAAAGCATGATGTCATTTATAACCAATAGGTACAGAGTCCTTGTTCATGTGCTAGGATTTTGCTCCTGCATCTGATAATTCTGGCACTGAAAATAGCTTTTGTCCTTGACTTTTTACTGTAATCCTCAGTTATAAAAATGTAGTATGTGTTCTCTGCTGTAGTTCTTCCGACTATGTGACTTTCTTGAAAACAGAGAAATTCTAGCTGAAAATCCTAGTGTTACAAGGAAACTCATTCCTTAAATGAATGGTTATCCTTCTTAAGTCCCTATTTTTCACATTCTAAAAATGTTATAAGCAGATCGTATCTCCATGATAGTTGGTGCAGTCATGGTTATCCGACATTTGTGCTGTGCCTTGCATATAGTATGTTTGCCATAATATTTGGCATAGAAGAGACACGCCATCATCCCTAGGTGTTCCCTACAAATGCAGGCTTGTCTAGCAACCATAAGCTGAGGGGAAAACGCCCCATTCTTCACTTCCAGAAGGAAAGGGGCCAACATTTCTGCTCCTCCATAATTCCATATAAATCTATGACCCACTGCCACTTTTTAGCATGAATAAATCTGTATTCTGACTTTGTCCCTTCTGAAATTATGTAATCAGAACAGTAAGATTCCCCAACTAACTGGAGAAAGCACAGATCATCAAGAAATAGATTACTGGCTGATATTTATTTTAGACTAGTTTATTTCTAAAATATTCTCCTTGGTCTGTTACTGAGGACTAACTTGTAGCATGCTGTAAGTCAGCTTTCAGATGCTGCAGTCTGATCTTTGACATTAGGGGTCTAGCTAGGGTTATTCCTTCAGTCATGTCCTATTTATAACACAGATACTTAAGTGCGTCTCATTTTCCAGGTACAATCCTGGGTGCTGGCGACAGAGCAGTGAGCCAAGTTAGAAGCCATGTAAATAATTTAGAGTGGTGCTTTTAAAGACAGCATGATTACAGGGCAAATGTCCTGTCTCTGAGGGGTTGGGTATAAATGTCCTTTATAATCACAATTCAGGTTTTGGAGACTCGCCTGGCATTGGCAGACAATCTGTGTTTGTCAAATTCAGTTGAATTGGTCACAATCATACCAAATAGATCTTATGAAATATTGAATTCCAAACTAAAACAGGCAAGGCTCCACTTTGTTTAAATAAATAACTATGATTCTCATGTGAGAAATCATTTTGTTATGTTTCACCTTGGCCATTTATACACTCGAATTTATCAACCACGTATTTTGAAATATAATTTCATATTTACAGTAGAAACTGTACGTACGGTACTTTTAAGCAGCTGCTACTGACTTGATAGGAAATGCTAAATAGTAATTTATCTGTGGAGGTGGAATTTTTTATTCTTTCCTTTCTTTTCTTTTTTTTTTAATGTGGGAGCCCAGGTTTTCCCAACTCTCAGACCACGTGGCTCCTTTCTCCCTCAGCATCCTCCCCCAGACAAATCCTGAGATGGAAATTTTTTGTGTGTTCTTTTCTGGGATTTTTGCCTAATGAAGGAAAGAAATGAAATAACCAAGCTGGCAGTATATTTTCATCACTATGAGTCTTTCTGTTAAATAAATGCTATTATTCTATATGTTAAAGCAGGTATTATCATTGCTATTTGTTATTAATGATTAGCTAGAATTATTGGCAGGCTAAATAAGGAGTTTCTGGCTTGTGCTTATTTAGGGGCTAAATTGTTTCTCATGCCTTAAAGTTATCATGGGGAGGCAGGCAGATGATCCAATAAACCATAAAATAACTGTGTAAAATATTATTAACATATAAAGTTGAATGATAAATACATAACTTGTATTATTTTTTATAAAGTAAAGAAAAATCTAAAAACTTCTGTGTTTAGATCAGTTAAGACTTTGCAGGATCCAAATGTAAGAATATTCAATTATAATAGTATAGATATCTCTTGGGTCCTTTTCCTTTGGGCATTTTATAAGTAAAAGGGTTTTGTAAAAGTGGTTAATAAGAGAGAGAGAAGGAAAGAGGAATTAAATGAGACCCTCTGAATGTTAGACACTTTGGTCTCCATAGTTCATTTAACCTCCAGACCAACTCTCTGAAATAAGTGATTACTAAAGGAAACAGAGCAAGTAGGTGGTAGAGCCAAGATTGGAACCTCAGAAGTCTGACACTAACTTCCTATAATTATTCATTTGTTGAATTAATATACTAATTATTCCTTTAATAATCTAGACATCCACATAGAACCCACCAACCTGGTTAGGGTTGTTTGTTGTCTGACACTACACGTCAAGTGGTGTTTGTATGTAACTGCACTCAATGCTTATGGATTCTTAGACGTCTGCTTTTGAATCTCTAGGATATCAAGTGATCCTTCACAGGGCGGTCAAAGAATCTAGGTGCTACTGTAATAAGGAAATTGCAGAAAGTTATAGAGACCCAGGGCTGTATAAAAACTGCCTTCCCATAAAGTCTCTCTTCAGTGAGAAACAGCTGCAGAAGGTTGATCTATGAAGCGATAGACCTGGAGTCCCGGCTTAGCAGAAGACAGGTGAGCCAGGTTGTTGTGTACATAGGAGAGTACAGACATTGCATTCAGTCCCAAGAATCCTTCCCAGAGCTACCGCTTACCAGCTGGACCTTGGGCCAGTTACCTAATCTCTTTGAACCTTAGTTTCCATGTATGTAAAATACTTAGTTTAGATGTCAGTTGTGAGTATGGAATGAGATGTCCATGCCTAGGAGATAGCAAACCCTCAATATGGTCTTCCTTAAATGGGACATGGAGGAGAAAGAGACTCTATCAGTCGAGGTAGGCTGGGCTGTGTTAAGGTAGCAGCCAAGACTTAAGTGTCATAGACAATAGAAGTCTGGTTCCCTCCCAGGGCTCTTCCAGCCCCTGAGGACTATCCTTCTCTTCATGCAACTAGTGGGAGGTGAAAAGAAAGTACAGAGGAGAATCACCCACTTCTTACCTGCTTTGGCCTTGAACAGCCTCAGCTCACTTGCACTCACCTTCCATCATCCAGAACTTGGTCACTCGGCCAAGAAATGAAGTCTGACTATGTGGACTTCTGGTGAAAGTTCTCAGTCTTTACCACATTCGCCGAATTAAATCAAGCCCCACTCAGTGTGATTTCCTTCATAATGATATCGTGATTTGTGACATGATTATCCTCTCCTGTTAAGTTGGAATACATTTTTAGGAAAGAGAGAATGTCTGTTTTCAATATCACCCCCTTCTTGATTTCTTAGCTCTGCGCCTCGGACAAAATCCTGGAGTTTGATCGAGATTTTCGAATTCGACATTATGCAGGTGACGTGGTGTGAGTATCTTACTTTGGTACCCGATGTGATGATTTGCATGCAGCCTCACTTCAGAAAATATAGTCAAGGAAAATGGAAATTGTTTTTGTATTCATTTGCATTTTCCAGCCATTTCATATGCCAGTATATTTTAATTTCTTCACTTAAAACATTGGCATGGCTTCATTCATCCCTTGCTTTTCAAACATTTGTTGAAGACACACCACGTGACCATACACAGTTCCTGGCATTGTTGGCACTCAGTCAGAATCAGCTGATGGTTAAATAAACCATGGAAGTGTGTTAAGAACTGGGATAGAAAGGTGGGTAATATGGGCCGTGCCCTGAAGAAGCTAGCAGTTTAGTGGAGGGTACAGGCAGAATACATGATAAGTCGTTATAATGGAGAACAGAAAGGGTTAAATTGGAGACACGCAAGGCATTATGGGAACACTGAGGAGGAGTAATTAACCCAGAGTGGGGAGTGTGGCCAAGCCTTGTAGGAAGTGATGTCCCAGCTGAGTCCTAGAAGTAAAAGAGGCTTAGTCAGAAGACAGAATTAGGAAGAGAAGAGTAAGAGAGGGCATTCCCAGCAGAAGAGATAGCAGGTCTGCAGGCCCAGAGGTGAAAGTCACCATTGTACATAAAGAACTACTAGTGGTTGGGTAACTGTATATGAGCAAAAGCCGGTTTACCATATGAATTTTCAAGTGTTATTTGAAAAAGTGAAATTCTCACAAGCTACATTTTCTGGTTATAATACAATAAAAGTAGAAATTGGGGAAGAAAATGAAACTAAAAAAATATAACCACCTTAGTATTTTCATTTCCTAGGGCTGCTGTAACAAATGACCACTAATTGGTGACGTAAAACAGTAGAAATTTATTCTTTCACAGAATAAATAATTCTTTCACAGAATAAATAAATTTCACACAGTAGAAATTTATTCTTTCTAACTTCTGGAGGCCAGAAGTTAGAAATCTAGGAGTCGGCAGGGCCACACTCTGGAGGCTTTAGAGGATTGTTCCTTGCTTTCTCCAGCGTCTGGTGGCTGCCAGCATTCCTTGGTTTGCGGCTGCATCACTCCACTCTCTGCCTCTGTGGTCACACTGCCTCCTCCTCTTCAGGGTGTCTGTGTTAAATCTGCCTCTGTCTTAAGACTACACTTGTGATGGCATTTAAGGCCCACCTGAATAACACGGGATGAATTTCTCCTCCCAAGGTCCTTAACGTAATCACATCTTTTACCAAATAAGGTGACATTCGCAGGTTCCAGGGAATTTGACATGGTTGTCTTTCAAAGGTGGCATTCTCCAGTCTGCTGCACTTACTGTGTTTTGCCCACCCAACACTGCTTTACTATCTTGTTTTTGTTTGAAGTCTCCTCTTTTCCTTTCTGCTTAGTTTTTACATTAGGAATTCTATTCATGTAACCCATTACAGGAAGAAATTAACGACAGAAAGCAAATGATCATCTCTATAAATGCCAAAAAGACATGTGAGGAAATTTTAATAGCTGTTCCTGATTTAAATTAAAACTCTAGAATCATAAAATAATATGGCTCAAAATTATCATCCCCCCCCCCCCTTGGGATGGCACCATTATCCACTTTTTCTGGTGCTATTTCCAGGTTCCAGAATACTGAAGAGGGAAGATCCAGTACCACGCAGATATCTGCCTCTGAAAATCCAGGCCTCACTTATAGGGTACGTTTTATACAGCCCAGATTGGCATAACTGCAGAGCTGGACAGAGGCCTTAGAGAACATGCAGGGCATGAAGCAATTTATGCAGAGTGTGTAAAATTCTTACCCAAGGTCACACAGCAAGTTTATGGAATAGCTGAGACAATAACTAGGCTTTCAGACTCGCAGTCCAGAAAGCTAGCCAGCCCCACAGAGGCATATTTGATGCCTCAGACTTCCCCTTCTCTCGTTAAACTCTTCAACCCTTTTTCAGATTTTTGCTGGGTATCTTCTGTGTGCACAATACTTTATAGAGTATGGTCCCTGCCCACAAAGAGCTTTCCACGTAAGATGCATACATACATATGTGGTTGTGTGCACGTATTTATTAACACACCCTCCTATATATATATATATATATATATATATATATATATATATGTATACACATACACACATTTATATACACACACTGATACAACAAAAGATGGTTCAAAGTAATTGCCATATGAGTAATAACGTGTTGTCAGAATTCAGAATAAGCAAGTGATAGAATACTTCTAACTGTGTGTGATAAACCCAGGAAGGCAGATGCTGGTCCTTGGGTGCCAGGAATTATTTTTATAGGAAAAAGGGGGAAGGAGGCTAAAAATATTTAGGAAGCAGTAAGTAGGCCCATTTGACTGGAGTGTATCCTTTGGTGGCATAGAGAACTAGAAACGCCTTACACATACACATTTATATACACACACTGATACAACAAAAGATGGTTCAAAGTAATTGCCATATGAGTAATAACGTGTTGTCAGAATTCAGAATAAGCAAGTGATAGAATACTTCTAACTGTGTGTGATAAACCCAGGAAGGCAGATGCTGGTCCTTGGGTGCCAGGAATTATTTTTATAGGAAAAAGGGGGAAGGAGGCTAAAAATATTTAGGAAGCAGTAAGTAGGCCCATTTGACTGGAGTGTATCCTTTGGTGGCATAGAGAACTAGAAACGCCTGGAAAAGTAGCTTGAGATCAAATCACAATGAGCCTTAAAGGCCGAAATAAGGAGTTCGAAGTTTGAGTTGTGTGGGTCCAGTGACAGATGAAGAGTCAGGTGACTTCAGGGGCTCAGTCAGAAGAGACTTGAAGGTGTTAGGAAGAAGCCCGAGGTTGGAGGACGCAAGGAACTAATTTTGGACCTGACGGCCTTAAAGTATGCCCATGGGCAGCACAGCCTGAAGGAACGTTCTTGCAGAATTAGACATGTAAGGCTGGAACATTGGTGCGGGGTCAGGGTTCGATGCGATGGACAAGGAAGACGGTACAGTCAGGCAAGAAAGGAGAGCTGTAAGCGGCGGCTGCCTCTGTAGGGTTGCTACTTACCCAGCCTCCTCTCAACCTGTTGTAATCATGCAGAACCCTCCCTTCCTGTTATCCCCCCTCATCCCCCAGTTTTCTCCCTCTAGAGCCATGCCAGTCACCGCAGCAGAGCAACCCCCATTCCTACCTTTGTCACCAGCTGCAATCTTAGCTGGACCTTCAAGACGTTGCTCGCGTCCCTTCCTCCAAACCATGGACACTGACCTGTTCATTTTCCTCTTGAGCACTCCTCGCATGTGCCTGCTCCCGCCCTTTCATTTAATCTGTTTCCCTGTGTGATCTGCCTTCCTCTTTCTCTTCTGCTTATCCAAATCTTACCATCCTTTGCAGTTCTTCTTGGATTCTTTTCTCCCACCCTGAACACAGTGACCAAGCCTTAGGCAAGTCATTTGACCTCCCTACGGATGAGACTGTTAGATCCTGTACGTTGCCGTTTTGCTTTTATCTTAGGAATGCTGGATGATAAATACAGCTATCTTTTTAAAAGTCATCGTCTTGAGGTAAGCAACAAACCAGTAGAGAATGATGATCTTAATTATAATGATGACACTGATGTTTGCTCTTCTTTTGAGGAATAGAAACAGCACCCCCTCTGTACGGGAGGTGAATTTGTTATTCTTTAACCCAGAGCTGGGTGGACAGTATTAGCTTTATAGATGATTGGTTGCATAATTTAACTGTGGAAAGGCTTGTAGACTTCTAGAAAAGCTTAAAAGTGGCTCTCGCTTGGTGAATAATGTGTTTTCTTTTTTTTTTTTTTTCTCAACTAGCTATTGTGTCATTGGTTTTATTGACAAAAACAAAGACACTTTATTTCAGGATTTCAAGCGCCTCATGTATAACAGGTAGGATTGAAATTTTATTATTTGTCTTTATGTTAAGCTCTTTGACATGTATATTACATAATATGTATGCACATGATTATTTTATGTGACAATTTTAAGAGTTTCTGGTAATTTTTCTAGTTCTGCTTGATCATACTTAATGAGTGAAATAATATATTACTTTATGATGATAAAATCTGTAAACTTAGGGCAGGAACCCTGTTATTAATATGATGTTCCTTGATTTCCCTTGGGTTGCCTCAGTTTCTCTGTTCATTGCCGCCATCCTCTGACACCCCCGCCAGTGTACTCAGCAGTCCCCCGGCCAGGCCAGTGGCCATGGGAGAGTGTCAAATAACCTCTGGCCCAGCCGAAAGCTTTACATACTCAGATTCCCACTGTAGTGTCTTTGTAGTGTCTCCAGCTAAGGGACCACCCTAATATCAGAGTGGCTGTGGTGTCAGTGGTGATAGATCCTGAGTGGTCAGAATCTTCTCACAATCCAAGAAAATGTGAAAAATCTGTGGAGCAGTAAAACCAGGCAGAGGATAGCAAGTTCACGCCCAGTACGGATACCTTGGAAAGAAGGCCTACGAAGAAAGGGGAGCTTCCTAGCCAGCTGCTTCTTTTGGATTAAAGTGTTGTCGCTCATGTATTAAGTCTACTCAGCCTGTTGGTCAGTAGGTCAGCCAAGGTATATGGAGCACCTCTGAGCTACACGTTCTTCTGTGCTCTTGGGGTACAAAGCCCCTGCCCTCCTGAGGTCTTTTATTCTAGTGGAGATGACAGTTAATAAACAATAAAACAGTGAACTTTCAGGTGGTAACAAGTGCTGTGAAGAAAAGTAAAATAGGTGAGAGATTGAAGGGTACAGACCAAGAAGGGCCGGGGAGGCATTACAGGTAGGGTGGTCGGAAAAGGCTTCTTAAAAGCGGGGTCATTTGAGCTGAGACCTGAGTGAAGTGAGAGCGTGAACCATGAACATGGCGGGGAAGAGAGGGAGAGCATTCAGGCAGAGAGGAGGGCTAGTCCACCAAGGCATTAAGGTGGGAACGAGCTTGGGTGTGTTGAGGACGGCAGGAAGGCCAGTGTGGCTGAAATCAGTGAGGGGAGGGGAGAGCGATTGGGAGTGACTGCAGAGAGGTCCACAGGGCCCAGCTCATGAAGAGTCCATGAGCCAAGCATGATGGGAAGCCATTGGAATGGATGATGTGATGTGATCTCTATTTTAAAGAAATCATTGGAGCCGCTGTGTAAAACCCAGACTGTAAAGGGCAAGAGTAGACATGCAGAGACCAAGTAGGAGGCTTGTTTAGTGATACAGGCTGAGGCATGGATGGGGTTACAGAGCTGATGAAAAGTGGTCTGAGTGGGTGATGCTTTGAAAGTAGAGCCAGCAAGATTTGCTGATGGATAGGATGTGTGATGTGAGAAAAACAGAAATCAAAGACGATGCCTGAGCAATGGGGAAGGGATGCTTGATTGTGGGAAAGACAAGAGGAGACGCTCATTTTGGGGGGAGATCAAGAGTTTCATTTTGGATATGTTTTGTCGGAGGTGTGTTTTGGGCATCCAGTTGAAAATGCCAAATAGGCGATTGTTTGTGTGCATTTAGAGCTCAGAGTAAAGGCGGGACTAGAGATGTAAATTCATGGTCACCAGTCTATTGACAGTATTTAAAGCCATAGTCCTGGGTGAGTTTGTCTAGGGTGAGCAGAGAGAAAAAATAAAAGAGAGAAGAGGTTGGTTGAAAGATGAATCCCTGAGATACTCTACCATTTCGAGTCAAGCAAGGAAAGAGGAACTAGCAAAGGAAACTGAGAGCATGCCTGTGAGTTAGGAAGAAAGCCAGGAATCTGGTGTCAGGGAGGCCAGGTCAAGTAAAAAAAAAAGATAAACTGTGTCAAACACTGTCAAGAGCAGAGTCCTATGAGGACCAAGATTCACCATTGGATTTGCAAACATGAAGGTCATTGGGACCCTGACAACACTGGCTTCAGTAGAGTCGTGACGACAGATGTCTGACGGAAGCGGGCTCGAGAGAATGCAGAAAATGAGAATGTGGAGAAAGTGTTTCAACAGTTCTTTCAAGAGGTTTTGGTATAAAATGGTTCATCTGTATGGATGAAGCCTCCAAGAGCAGAGATGGAACCATCACCACTAGAAAGTCACAGAGATGTGGGAATGTGAGAGGGGACCCATGTAAGAGCTGGTTTGGGGGGAAGAGAGTTTCAGAAAGAAGTTTCAATGCTCGGTTTATCAGGTAAGATGCACCCGTTTTGAGAGAGAAATCAAAGAGTCTGGCATTGCTCTGTGTGTAGAACATGTCAAAAAGTCAAATCAGAAAAACGGCCTCAGTCGGCCAGTGACAAAGTCAGGTTTTGGTTGCCCGGGGAAGGCAGCCAGGCTGTGTACCAGGAGGCTGCACAGGGTGGCATTGGTTACCTTCTTGAATTATCACAGCCCAGAGGTTCAGCTCACAGAGGACAGCTGCACCTTCTAGTGGTGGATTCACGTAACCCTCAGCTCACAGGACCAATGCAGAAACAGACCAGCGAGCAGATTTATTTCCAGCAGACAATCTAACGGTCTCATGGTATGGAACACGTGCATGGGGATAACAGGCTCTTCTTCCCTATTGGAAAACCTGCCTGAGGAGTCAAATAGAACTCTGTTAATTGACCGTGAAAAATATCACCTATAGAATGCTTAATTGCTTGGTAAGCCTGGAATCAGAACAAAGGAACTTAGATAAATCCAACAATTAAGGGCATCAGTCTAAGATGAATCCATTTCACAACAGGGATGGTCTTGCCAAAGGTATAAAAACATTAAAAGTCTGTTCATGGGCTTCCCTGTTGGCGCAGTGGTTGAGAGTCCGCCTGCCGATGCAGGGGACACGGGTTCGTGCCCCGGTCCGGGAGGATCCCACATGCCGCGGAGCGGCTGGGCCCGTGAGCCATGGCCGCTGAGCCTGCACGTCCGGAGCCTGTGCTCCGCAACGGGAGAGGCCACAACAGTAAGACGCCCGCGGACCGAAAAAAAAAAAAAAAGTCTGTTCATTGCAACTTGTTGTATATATCTCCGTAGTAGGAAAGGCCTTGCCAGGGGGATGGAAAGTCTTGAAATTATTTTGGTTAAAACCATCCTCCTAGATGGTGTTTAGATGGGCTACCTTTGCCTTTTCGATGCTTCCATGGCCAAATGACCTTTCCAAATTCAATCCTTTCTTTCTTTATATCTGTTTAAAGAGTAATCCCTGGGCCTCTAGTTCTGTAGAGTATCCATGCATGTGTGCAGGCACATGCACGTGTGTGTATATATAAAGGGAAGGAGGCAAGGAGCAAGCAGGTGGCATGCGAGGTGCACAGATCGCTCTTTACCACTCTCTCGTTAGCCAGCTAAGTTCCGCCTTATCTGTTATACGTACTGGGTTTCTGGATAAATAAGCTTCCCTTTTAAGGGAAAGTTTCTTTTAAATAAGTTTGAAAAGTATGTTGACTTACTGGCCTGAAAGTTCTTTTTCTTTAAAACAATTGTATGTGTCTGTTTTGATTCATTATGCTTCAGTTCTACTGTTTAATAATGTAATAATAATAAACATCTTATTTCCTTCATTCTCAACATTCCCCCCTCCCTTCGTTTACAAGGTAGTGTCTGAAACAAGACCAAAAGGGAGTAAGGTGCAACTGAGGGTAGAAACTGCATAGACAATGCCAGTGATTTTCTGTCTTTGATGTGCATCAGGATTTTTCAAAGTGCACACGCTTTAGTTTCTGGAAATTCTATTCCAGAGGTGTTAGGAAGGCATCCAGGCATTGTGGGCACTAAAGGTTGAGAACCGTTGCCTCAAGTTCTCTCTCTGCTATAGATTGAAATGGAAAAGTTAAGGAAAAGCAATACACATTTATGTGGTCTTTTTTTTTTTTTTCTTTGTGCGGTACGCGGGCCTCTCCCGTTGCGGAGCACGGGCTCCGGACGCGCAGGCTCAGAGGCCATGGCTCACGGGGCCAGCCGCTCCGCGGCATGTGGGATCCTCCTGGACCGGGGCACGAACCCGCGTCCCCTGCATCGGCAGGCGGACTCTCAACTACTGCGCCACCAGGGAAGCCCTATGTGGTCATTTTTATTGATACGTATATCATTGGAAAATTATGGAATAGGAGTAGAAGGTAATAAAACTGGGTCCATGAACCACAGATCATGCATTATTTTATAGCCACTTTTGATGGTAGTTGTCACAGCTTGCTGGCAATGGCGAGGGTTAGGACTCTTTTTCTTTCTCTGCCTTCATTCACAGACCCAGTCCGTCTTCACCTCACCGTGTATCTTCTTCACTCTTGTCATCCATTCTGGCAGTTTGCTGCTATTATTTAGAGACTTTTTGTACAGAAATTCACTAGGTGTTTGGGGAACCAACTCAATTTTCTCAATTTCATATCAGGAAAAGAAAAGTGGGCAAAATGATGGCAGCAGTAAACACAGTTAGGAAAAAAAAAAAATCCATGTTAGGTCTTTTCTATTCTCAATCCCCAGTTAAAAAAAAAAAAAATTCTGACGAGAGAAAAGTTTCCAAGATGCAAGCAGCATTTCGAGTTCCAATTACTTTAAAATCAGAAGCACCCAATGTTTTGTTCGTTTCAGGTGTACAGAAAAGTGAATCAGTTACACATGTACATATATCCACTCTTTTTTAGATTCTTTTCCCATATAGGTCATTACAGAGTATTGAGTAGAGTTCCCTGTGCTATACAGTAGCTCCTTATTAGTTATCTATTTTATGTATAGTAGTGTGTATATGTCAGTCCCAACACAACATTGTAAATCAACTCTACTCCAATAAAAATTTTTAAAAAATCAAAAGCACCCAAAATGAAACAGGAAGAAAATCAGGGCCGAGACCACCATACATGTTTATAAAAATGCCTCCACTGAGCCAAATAAAGAATACAGTATATCATTTTTAGCCTGAAAACTGGCCTGAAGTACACTTTAAGAATTGGATTACAGCCATCTTAGGGTCACTTCAATAAAATATCGTAACCGCCGGTGCTACCTATAAATGTGTTCATAATTCAGCTGCAGTAAAGGGATTTACTAGATGACAGTGTAAAAGTGGTTATTTTCTATTCCTATCTGTATTTTTTGAAAGACCTGGCTTTTTGTGACCTATACTGTATGAATATTTGTTTCAATTAAAAGATGCTTTCTCTTTCATGACTTCTGCCTATGACACTGAGGATTGTTTTCCTGCTAGTGGTTTGTTCTCATTCTTATAACGACCACCAAAACCATTTTATTTTAGGTATATGGTATCAGAGCTATGAAACCATTTGAGGATCCTGCATAATAATAACATCGAGGTCACTTTAAAGAGGTTTAAAGAATTTTTCGAATGTGGTCTCGTTTGGACACATCTTCTCACTCTGTGGTGCAGTATCTGTCATTTATACTCTCAGCCTAATTTTCTGGGTGGAATCATTTTTCCAGTCAGGGCTTGTGAGTTCTGTCTGCAATGCAGTTGTGGCTCCCAGGATACAGTTCAACAGGATTGCTTAGCAATTCATATCCAGCTTATATGAATGTAGCATTCAAACCACTCTTTCTGTGCTTCTCAGTTCAAATCCTGTGCTGAAGAATATGTGGCCCGAAGGCAAACTGAGCATTACAGAGGTGACCAAGAGACCTCTGACTGCCGCCACCTTATTTAAGAATTCTATGATTGCTTTAGTAGACAACCTTGCATCAAAGGTAATTACTGTCTTTTTTACATATCCATTTCATTTCATAGATTCCCTCTTGATATATGTTATAGAGAATGTATGTGTGCTTTGCTCTGTAGGTGATTATAGTAAATCAAATGGAAGAACATATTGAGAGTGAGTGTTACAATAGAATTCTTAATCCTGTTTTGTTTGTTTGTTTTTTAACATGGCTTGGTAAAACAGTTGTTTGTGTCCCAGATGAAATGCTCTTCTTAAATTTGGGCCTTTCATCCTACTGTAGTCATTAATGGGAAAGTCTTAGTAAGATCTTTTAAAAAAAAAAAAAAAAAAAAAAA